CACCAAACAGATACGCGACGTCAAACGACAGCTGCAGCCTAAAAAGTTTGACCAACCTCATCACGACTCCAAACAACAAAAACCACACTGCCAAGGAAACACTCGTCATTATGAACGACAACAATTTGCTTGTTGGAGATACCTCCCACAAAAGCGTACACCCACATCAGCCTGGCTCTCACACTGAGCAAAACAACAACAATTTCACACAGAAAAATTATAACGATGAGCCAAAAATCATTTCGCGACTGAATGACAAAAGACATTGGAGAACAAACAGTAATAACCTGACTGACACCAGCAAGCAGTTCTGTGAGGATATTCAATCAAAACATCATCAAATCGGAAACAAAAATTTCTCCAACGACATCAATAACAACAGTCTCAATTGCAAAAGCAGGAACGTAAACTTGAACGATTTCTACCACCCAAAAGACAACAGCGATTTTAGCAACTATAACAACAACATCATCAACAACAACAACAAAAACATCAACAGCATCAACAACATCACCACCAACAACAACAACAACAGAAACATCAACAACAATAACAACGACAGCCACAGCAGCACGGAAAGCAACAATGTACTACCCTCACTATCGATCAAAGATAATTTATCGGTAAAGGAGAATAAATCATTTGTTGAGAACGGAAATAACCCGGCGCTATTTACAATGGCTGCCATGACAGCAGCAGCTAAGGAAAACAGCCCACTATTAAATGTACAGTAATTTGTAGTCATTATCAACGTCCATGTTTGATTGGAAGATTGGTTGTTGTTGTTGTTGCTGTTGTTTTTGTTTTTGTTGATGTTGTGTTGTTGTTACGTCCATGTTTGATTGGAAGATTGGTTGTTGTTGTGTTGTTGTTGTTGCTGTTGTTTTTGTTGATGTTGTGCTGTTGCTACTTTGTCGTTGTTGATTTGTTGTTGTTTTTGTTGATGTTGTTGTTGTGTTGTTGTTACGTCCATGTTTGATTGGAAGATTGGTTGTTGTTGTGTTGTTGTTGCTGCTATTGTTTTTGTTGATGTCGTGTTGATGTTACTTTGTCGTTGTTGATTTGTTGTTGTTTTTGTTGATGTTGAGTTGTTGTTGTGTTGTTGTTATTGATTTGTTGTCATTTTTAGTGTTTATGATTGATTGATTGAAAGATTGGTTGATTGACTGTTGTGGTTTTTGTATGTATATGCTGTTGTGTTGTTGTTGTTGTTGTTGCTGTGTCGTTTATGTTGATGTTGTGTTGTTGTTGTGTTGTTGATGTTGTTGTGGGACCGTTGCTGTTGTGTTGTTGTTGATGTTATTGTGTGGTCGTTGTTGTTGATCTGTAGTCATTTTCAATATTGATGTTCGATTGAAAGATTGGCTAGTTGCCCTTTGTTGTTTTCTTGATGGTGTTGTTGTTGTTATCATTCCCCAGTTTGATGTTTGTTTGGTAGAAGATTGACTGGTTGTTTTTTTTGATGTATGTTGTGTTGTTGTTGTTTATGTCACTCTGGTTTGTTGTATACAGTGTTTGTGATGTTTATATTGTTGTACATTATTTTGTTGTTGTTTATTTGTTGCTTGATTTGTTCCTATCAACATAAGTTTGAACGACATGTTTGAGGATGTTTGTTAAAAATTAATTTTAAAGAATAATAAATATATGAAAGAATTTATAAATTTATTGATTTATTTTTTAAATCCATTTTTATTGAACAGAAGTCAAGCCCAAAGTGCTGATATAACGAATGATATCACTCCCTGCAATGATAGTATATCTCATCACAGCTACTGGAAACAACATCCAATCCACAAGGAATAATTTTTCTCACAGTTTTTTCAACATTTTCAATTTTATACAAAATTTTCAATTTTGCAAGAATGTTTAATCTAGTTTTTCTGTTTTCACATTCTAAACTTTACTAAATCATTTATATATAATCTTTTTATTATGTATGTATATATATATATATATATATATATATATATTTGTGCGTGTGTGTGTGTGCGTGTGTTTTTGTGTGTATTATATTAATATATAAAATTTAATATATAAGATATATAAAATTTTATAAATTTAAATTTTTTTTCATACAATAATGCAATCGACTAAGTGCGTTTTAACAAAAGTATCAACATCACAACGTTATAAACAGACCCCTGATCAAATGTTAGTTTACACATAGTATTGGTTCTGTACGCTGATGGTGTTATAGTCTGTTTGTTTATAACTCATTAATATAGTTATATATGACGTTTAATTTACTAATGTCAATTATAACATTAATAATTATAACACTAACAATAAAAACAAAAAATGTATTGAAGATTTTGAGGAAAAATTGTAATAATGAATAAGTAAATGTATGAATTTTTGTTATATAGGGTTCATTAAGTACTGAATTTTAAAATCCAAATATGCATACTTGAAACATTTTAATTGAGATTAACGATATTGTTGTTTGGTTGAAATTTTTCATCCCTATACATTCCTTCAACACATAAATTTCAATCTGCTTTAATAGTTTTTACGTGTTTGTTTAGTTTTTCTTCTTAATAGTTCAGTTTATGATATGGATTCAATGGATTCAATGAAAATTAACGATTCAAGTAGATAATTCTCTAATAATAATTGTAAGTCCTCTCAACTCTGACTTTCTGTTTCTCTCTCTCTCTCTTTCTCATACTTTTATTCTCTTTCTTTCTCTCTCTCTCTCTCTCTCTCTCTCTCTCTCTCTCTCTATTTTTATCTGCGTATGTTTATATTTAGTTAAATTCAGTGTCTGATCTCATTATGGTTATTATTATAGAATGTTGTGGAAGCATTAACAGTAGTCGCATGTTTGACATCACACATTGGTTATAATTTTAGTGGGTGAGCCTCAAGACAGTCAATAAATGATGATTATGTATGTGCTCCAAACAGCTATACAAAAACTAGGCGCTATTCGGTTAACGTTAAAGTCAGATACTATAGTTCAATTTTTATACTGAAATTCCATTTTATGATAATATATATTGCATGATTTTATACCAAAACTTGAATGAAGTGAATAAAATTAAAATAACACTACCTTTTTTTATAAAGCTTTTTACTAAAACTTTTTAAATTTATTTAAGATAAAATCGCTGGCTAAAAACGAAGGCACATAAAATAGTATAAAGAACATGCGAGTGGACCAGGAGACTGGCTGGCCGGTTGACTGGTTAGATAGCGATAAAAAATAAACTCAACTATGTAGGTGTAGGTATATGTTTGTTTGTCTGTCTGTGCATGTACGTATTTATGTGTGAATATAATTGTAACTGCGTGTATGATTGTATGTGTATGATTGTAAGTGTGTGTGTAGGATTGTATGTGTGTTTGTGTGTAGGATTGTATGTATGTGTGTAGGATTGTATGTGTAGGATTGTATGTGTTATTGTGTGTGTGTGTGTAGGATTGTATGTGTGAGTGTGCGTGGTTGCATGTATGCAGTTTAGTGTCTAGCTAAAATTTTTTAAAGATAAACTTTGAGAGTTATTTGATATAGTATCTTTATCTGATAATTGGATTCATCTTCAGAGTATAATGATAAAAATGATAATTATATGTAATGTTTTTGATAGTAACACGACTGTGGTAATGAAATGATGGCCACATGGCACAATTGACATTCCTTTTTTCAACTTTTTGTATTCCATTAATGTACCTATGTTTTTCCTGTAAACTTATTTGAGCCGGATGTATGTGCTGGAAATATTTTTAAATTTTCAAAAAATGTTGTTCGGTTGCTCGTGGTTTGATCATAATCTGCGTATATATTAATATCAGTGAAGAATCATAAACCGCTCCACATACATTTTTATATAGATATGCTAATATATCAATTCTCATAAATTTTACAATCATTTTATTAATTAAATATTGAAAAAATATTTTTAGAGTTCAATTGTTGGAAGATAAAAACAAATTTATAAAAAAAAGTAATTTTTGACAAATAATATAATAAATAAATTGTGGTTACTAATAAATTAGTCTAATGTTATTTCAACATTTATAAAAACATCTTTGTTGAGATAATTCCGTAACATTTTTTGCCATGCTATCACTACGTGTAGTAAAATGTTTTTTTTGGCATTTTAACATTGTTGTAATAATATCCATGCACTTGATGTGTTCTTTTTTTTGAGTTAATGAAAATTTTGAAAAAAAAAATTAAAAGGTTTGTCTTGTTTTATAAAACTTTTATGAAGTTTTTCACACAAATATTAACAAATTAGTGTGGGAGAAACCAGAGAATCAATTATTTACTTGCTGTGGCTTGCACTCCTATACAAAATTTCAAAATAACATTGATAATAGATATTTTCTTATTTAAGTAAAGATAACAATAGTTTCCTTGCATTTAAATTAATTAAAAAACCAAATTAAAACAAAAAAAGCTTTATTAAATAAACAAAATGTTATGATTTATTATAGAATGTATTAAAGAATAATTAGCATATTTAAATGAGTTATACACAGATCTTTGAATAGTGATGACAAAAGTGTCCTCCAAATTTAAACTGCCTCTAAATTGAAGCTCCTATACATAAGTCAAAAAAGTGATTAAACCACGTCATCTGACTCAAGTCTCCAGTAGTTCTTAAAGACTCTAGTGATACTGATATGTACTATGCATTCAAAATGATATTCACATAACTAATATTTGTATATACACTAAGGTTGTATACAGCAGTAGAGTCAGTCATATTCAGTTTTGATTCTATAGGATAGTTCTGATATCAATCACGTTTATAATCTTTTGAAATAAACAAAACCTTTGAATTAGAGTTGTGAAGCTATTTAAATTTAGCAATTGCGATTGTTGTGAAGCAGAGAGGTAAGGTTTTTTTTTATAAAAATAATTAAAAGAATTCATGTTTTATTTTGTATTCTTGTTTCAGAGCAATTTGATAATTTTATGAATCACTTTTTGTTAACACATTCTCAAATGCTAGTTAGACAATTGAAAACTTGACTACAAGTAAACGATGGATTACTCTTTTGCAGAAGCAGTCGGTACAACGTAGCAGCCTGCATGCACGACGAACGGAGCCTCGGTAGATATCAAAATCTCTGAAAATTTCAACCCCACATTCATCCGCGAAACAACAGCCAACAAACAGCCAGCAGAACAACACGTCAACTAGTTCATACAACTCTGCAAACTGTCAATTAAAAACAACTACGACAAAATCCGATTTTGTGAACATTATTGCTTACGCTACGGTTATTTTTCTGATAAATACTTTTAGCACCGACGTTGTTATAGGACATGAGGAATCCAAATCTAAGACATGAGACAAACTGCAGTCTCTTCAGATCTGTTTGTCGTTACGTTCGTAATAACGTCTTGCAGCGTAGTGTCATATTGTGCCTACTATCAATAGCTCTGGTTGTGTACGTCCTAACCGACTATGGTATCATTTTAGAGTTGCAAGTCGTCTTCGGTTGCGTCATCACCTCCTACTTCTTTAAGAAAAGGTTTGAAAGGATGATTTATGGGAAAGATCCAGAAACTTTGGCTTTCTCTCGCCAACTTGCTTATGTTTTGATTTTCGGCATGGCCGTTCACAGAGCCTACTACGCAACAAATTTCTGGCTGTCTATATTCAACACATTTCACACTCTGTTCATTGGTTCTTTTCTTCTGGTAAGGGAACTTAGTGGTATATATGTAAAAATTATGACAATGTACATAATTGCCACGTTTCTTGCATCAATCATTTTTATATATAATGTAAAAGATAACAAGTTTGTTGCTCTGTTGTATATATTGTTGGGTCGAAATGAGATGATCGGTCAATATTTGTGAAATGAAGTGATGTGAGAAATTTCGCAGTTTCGGTGATGTTAGTTTTGAAGAGTTGAGTTTGTCTGTAGCGATGTTAAATAGCTGACGGTGGTGTTTTTGATGTTTATAGTAATTTTGTCTTTAAGTGAAAATGTTATTGATGATGAATGATGTTGTATTTTTTAGTAGCGATTAACGATAACTTTGGTGGTGATGAGAGGTTAACGATGAATTATGTGACATTTTCTTCAATCGTTTATTATTATTTATTTCACTGGTTGTTATCACAAATCTGTCATGCAAAACGTGCAATTAATAAAATTAGATAAAAAATGTCTGGTTGTTTAACGAATATCATTTATTAATTTTATCGTTTGTCATATGAATTTGAAACTTTGTATAGAGATTCTAGTTTACAATTTAATCAAAAACATTTTTAGAAACTGTTTTGTAAAAAAGTGGGCTGATTTGATATTCAAAGTTTAAACAAAATTTGCGATATATTTCAATTTTTGCACTTGTGACATCAATTTATTTTTCCTATATCAAACATTTGTATAGATTTTACTTGTCGTGAAAACAGAAATGTAAAGTAGCCAGCCAGCCGTTGAACATCGGAATAGCCAAAACTAACTTTCTCACGGCATAAACAACGATCGTTGAAAAAACTGAAAACTTACTGTCATCTTGCGAATAAAAAAATAGATACTTATCCATTTAAAAACACCTCAATGCCTGAAAATGTTTTCTCCAGCTTTTTTCTTAGAAATAATTTAATTAATTACTCACATTAAAAAATGTTGAAGATAAATAAATCAAAATTTTCTTGACATGACGCTTAAAATAAAATTTATTCATCAACATAACTGACACTCCAGTAAATTTAACAAATTTTCGGCCAATAATAACCTTCCATTAAATTATATTTTACTATTTTTACACGCACTGCATTATGCCAAATAGTGAACGTCATTGACGTTGCATCATCGATTTTACACAATAGAATAACACAGCTGGTTTCGTGGCGAATGTTGAATATATATCAAATCAACACTTTTCGTAGGAATGTTTTAGCTCTGTTAGTTTTTATTTAACAGTTTACTTGTAGAATATATCACCATATATGTTAGTAATTGTAGCTATATGCAATTTACATAATCGTTTATTTATTTATTAGCCAAATTATAACACTGCCACCTCTAATATATGCAAATATTTTGTGAACTTGGATGAAAAATGCTAAAATAAAATTATTAAATTTTAGAAAATCTATAATTTAATAGAAAATTTTTAAATCAGCTGTAAATATTAATGCTACCCTATTTTTAATAGTGAAATTATTCACGCATATTAATAAAGGCAATTATGATAATAATTTTCTTAAAAAAAAATCACGATATATACGTAAACGGACACGCAGAATTCCAATTTGTAACACAAATCACATTTCTATTCGCCTAGTCCATCATCAATCGTTTCAATGTATCGATTTGCACTGGTGTAAACTATTTAATGCATAATTAAAAAACTACTAGAAAAATATTATTTAAAAAATGAACGAAAATAAAATTTTTACACGTACATGTACACGTAGCAAATGAAGAGCCCGTAGAGTCACATTTACTTAATCTAGACTAGATTTCAAATTTAAATGCCAAAAAAACCTTGAAATTTTTATGATCATGGTTTTTGAAAACTCGTCATGTTACGAAAATTTTTTTAAATCAATTTTCTTGAAACTTATAAAACCTTTCAACTGTAATTTCACCGGACCATTCCACACCGATTGTTTGTTACCCCGTCTTCTAGCACAAAACAATATCAAGATATCTTACAAACAACGGAAACGAGTACACGTATTATTAACGCACACACATTGAATCCACAATAAAACAACTTGTTACCATAGGTAATTAACATTTTAAAACTGGGAATAAATTTCAATTTGTGGTACAATGTGGTACAATTATACGTTTTTAAAACACTCAAACACCTGTCAATAAAGTTGTACGTCGGGTAGGTTTAGGCTCTGTAATATACATTGCTTGTTGATACTGAAGATAAGTGCACGGCTGTCAGATGAGTCTAATGCACTTTATCATAGCATTCTCTCTCCATATATTTTTATTATCTTTGTTGAGTACCAAGAACAATTGTTTCGTCATATCCAAAGTATGTACTAACCGACAGATATATTTTTAGAACTTTACATGCAACAAACAATTTTTTCAAAAGTTTGCAATTTACAATTAAAAAGATTAAAGTATAAATCTCGTGATTTATTAATTAAAGTAATATTTAAAAATCGTTTTGCACAATCAATCTAACTTATTAATTCGCTGATTGGAATGACATTCAAGTAACTTTTCAACGTGTCGTCAATCAGAGAAGCATCAACGTCCAAATAACTTCCACAGCCTTTTGACGGAATGCCGTGCCACTGCATGCCCAAAATATGCGAGGTCTGCTGGTAGCAGAGGTTGACGTTTGTGAGGTAACAGAGTCCTTCGATGATTAGAGTACCAGGTTGGGAGAAAATGATGTTTGAAAGGCCTGCTCCGTGTGGAGCTACGATGATGGAGGCAGATCCAAACACCAACATCGTTTCATTGAGGCAAGGTACTGGATTATCACCGTATTCGTAAAACTCTAAACCAATACCTTGAGCTGTTTTTTTTAAATTATTTTTTATGTTCTCGTGGTACAAAAAACGTCTTTTTCCAGTTCTTTTTATCAAAAGTAGTTTGTTTCTAGGTTGGAATGTGGATTTGACAAGATTTTTTAAAATATACGTTCTGTATTGTCTGTGTAGATATTGTAGTTCTAGAATATTCGCTGACCCACAAGCTGTAGACCGTGGTACGTAGGCAACTTTGGCTCTCACTGAATTTCTTACCAATCTAGAGTGGTTCAAATGAAATATATTCATGATTTCAATTAATTTTTCACTTGAGTCTTTAGATAATATTTTAATTTCTGGATTTTCTTGCAAAAATTTAACAAACAGTGATAGTCTGGGTATGTTCTCAATCATTTTGTGGAAAAACCCTTCCCCCCAGAACTGAGAAATAAGAAAAACTTCATCGAACTGCGGCAGTTTTTCCTGTTCCGATATAGTTGGCATCCCACTTTGACCAAGTGAACAGTCGTTTGGCTCAATGTAAAAACCATTGATGAACACGCTATTTTGATCGCTGATGATGGCGTTGGTGTAAATTTGCAGAGGATAAAAAACATCTGGAACGTTGTATAAGTAAGTCAAATTATTTGGAATCATTTTTATTGTATTTTTCATGTTAAACTTTTGTGGATAAAATTTAATAAAAATTTTAGATGGTTGTGAGGCCAACCGGACATCAGTGTTGCACGTGAAATTGTAATAAAAACTGTAATCCCAGTTAATTGAGCCTGACTCCATCCAGTTGCAAAATTCCTTTGTCGACGTTAGTCGGTAGTACTTGTTGAGAAGCAAAAAGTTTGTTGGACACTGGGCCGAAATTCTGGACATCGTGCTTGAACATTGGTTCAAATCTGGTAAAACGTGCTCCACATCTTCTGTTACTGACAAATTATTAAAAATTTTAGAGTTATTCACATAGAAGGCTAAATTGAAAGAACCCGATACATTTTTTAAATCTTCATAAAATCTCCCGTCTCTTTCAGACAATGTTACTAAACTATCATTCCCGACGAAAACATCGCCGCGCAAGTAAACTGTCTTCAGAATGTGGATCCTTAATTTGGAGAGGTTATAGTTCAATTCGTGGATTCCATCAATTACATCACCAACGCGAGTGCGGTGTAATTCATTCTGTTGGACCGACCATCTTTTTGAAAACGGCCATATACCTTCACGTATCTTCTCATTAAATTGAATGCAGAGAAGAATGGCGATCGCAGCAAGACATGCAATAAAAATTGTTATCAGTCTAATATCAAAATATTTAACATTACGACATACAAGTTTACTGAAAAATTTTCTAAACAGCATTTTATCTATTTGTTTAAAGTTTGTCATTAAAATTAAATAAATAATTAAAAGTCATCAATCCATCTATATCATTAAATTTACTTAAATTCATTTTGCATCAACTACATTTTGTAAAAAGTTTAATTACTTCAAAAGCCAAACAAACCCAAAATTTTAAAAATATGTTCATCCAATAATCTGTTAATATTTAATATAGCTCAGCCTTATCTGTAAGATAATGCTCATGCACTCTGTACTCTGTACGTAGTAGCATGTATATAAGACAACATTGTCAGGAATATAATATCCCAAAACTGGTGTATAATATAGAATATAATATCCCAAAACTGGTGTATGTGGTATGGTGTGCGTGCGTGTGTGTGCGTGCGTGCGTGCGTGCGGTGTGTGTGTGTGTGTGTGCAGGGTGCGTGTTATTTGAGACCAGTAAGTGCAATGGTAGAACCAAACGTCTTAATTTTTCCAGTCATATCAGTTTTACTAATAATTTTGTTTATGTTTCACAATGATTTCACGTATTCCTAAATTTTAATTCTTTAATTACAAAGAACAGATTGTTGTAAGTTACATGCTGGCATTGTTTTATTAATGAAAACAGCAAGCTACGTTTTTCTGCCTGAAGGATAGTTTATAATTCATGCCAACTCTTTTTATGCGCAGAACCAGTTGTTTATTCAATTATCAAACGTTCGGGAACTAATGTTAAACTACTTTAAAACATCTAATAAGTTGATTCTGATTTGGTGTTAATTTTTCCTATAAATATTTTTGAATTGAAAGAAAGTAACTCTAACCTTGTAACTTTAAAAAAAATTTTTGTCGGTATTCTGAATGTCTCACATTTCTTTTTTAATTTCCAACTGCAGGATTGACTCTCGTAACATTTGAACGAACGACGTCAAGCGAAGAAAACATTGCATCACCAGTTTTAAATCAGCTTCCAGGAAAGTTTTATACGCGTTATAATAAGCAGCACACAACTACACAACTCGCACTACAATCCTAACAATTTTCATTAACATCAACATTCAACATAGGACATGGCACCGCGTAGAAAACCTCAAAAAAACCGTACTCAAGGGTTTCCAAAAAATCTACAACTAAAGAATCCAACAGATACAACAATGCCCTCAAACTTACCAATGTTTTCATCTAATCCAACCGAACTCTATCAAATCTCTCAAACACTAGAGTCTTCAACAGATGCATCTGATATGTCTGAAAGAAACCAAAAAAATGATGCGACAACAACGTCAGAGGATGACATTTCATTTGGCGAAAGTTTCATGGATGCATATATTTTTGTGATGTTATTCTTAATGTGCATTGGCATGTTGGTCCAACTCACATCAGCCGTCTACGCCATAGTTATGGGAGTCCACCACGCTGTCTTATTTTCAGCACTGCGTTTCAAAGGAACAATCATGTGTCTAGCTGTATTCATGCTTAACATTCAGCTTGCTTGTATTGTTAAAACTGCGTTTTATTTGGCAAATAAACCGTATGGCACAAGGCTCAAACCTAGTTCTAGTTGTGATGAGCTGGAGTCGATATTTCTTGATGTAATAGAATTCTTAATTGACATGTACGAGACACATTATCGGGGCGGATTTAAAGTGGGTATGTGAAATAGGAAGTGGAAGTGGTCAGAAGCTTAAAAGCTATAGCTCCGAGACTTTTTTTCGATTTGCAGCTTTGGATGGAAAATTTTTCTGATAATTTTTTGTAAAATCTTGCATACTTTACCACTGATATCAATTTATTTGCAGAACTGTTCACATTTTCAACGAAATATACCTAAATTAATGAATATTTAATGAATTTATTTAAATTTCTCGTGAATAATTTGTATAAGCAAATATAATTTTTCAACACAAACTAATTTATATATATATAAATAATTATATAAATTAACTTTGACAAATATCTGTTTTCAATTAGTGCGGTTAAGTTGTTCCACTATTAATATTTAATAACATTTTTACGAATCCTTTGCCTGTTGAATATGCAATCTAAATTGTTTGAATGTGAACAATTTATTTTATTTCATCAGAGAGATTTAATCTTTTATAATAGGGAGTGAACTTCATTAGTTCTTTAATGATAGGCTTATAATTTTCAAAATTATTTTTTGTCAATGAAAACTTGTAATTAAATATTAATACCTTTGTAAAATAAAGAGATTGACTGGTACGATTTTATGAGCACTCGAAATAGACTTGCAACACTTCACTGGGTTTCTGAAACTGCAAAACCTGTTATTCTTTAAAAGTTGGATTAGTGTTATTTCCATTTAAAATATTTTGTAAATTCTGTTATCAAGTCTTAAGTATTCAAATAATTTAAAATTTTCTTGTTTTTTTCATTTTGTCAAAGTTTAATTCAATAAATTCAACTTTTCTAACTACACAAATCTGATTTAATATTTAAATACATTCTAGTCTAAATTTCGTTGTTTATGATCAATCTATACCTTCATATATGGTGCAATGAAAATTATTAAATTAATAATTATGTTAATATGCAATTTCGAGTTCGAGTTTATGAAAATCATTTTCCGTACAACATCTTTCGTAACTTTCAAGACAAAAAAAAAACAAAATATTTTATTGTTACACACACACACACAACACACACAACACACAACACACACGCACAAAAGCAAACATAACACACACACACAACACACATACACACAAAACCTTAAACAACAAAAGCATGAAAGTAATCTAAAAACTGCAAACTTCAGTTTGTAAATTTTGCAGATATTCGTATCTACGTGCGTTAACATTCCAAAGGATTGTTGAAACGTTTACATTTGGATAAAAATTTTATCAAATAGCTACTTAGACAATTTTTGCTTCAAAGTTTAATCTAATCAAAATAAATAGACTGCTTTTTTCAAAAAAAAATTTATAGATAGCTGATGTTTGTATACTATCAAAGTGAACTAGTATTGAATTTGATAATCCATCACGTAGCTCTACTGTAACATTAGTTAGTCACATTTTATTGAATTAAGAGGTTGAAAATAGTTGAAAAAGTTTGGTTTATTAACATTCTAATCATAACGAATTTACATTATTCTTTAAAAAATAATTATTTTAAACAGAAATTGTCTGCAAAATTTATGATTCGACTGGCACCTATTCTAATTACGGAAGAAATAAACCTGAAACATTTGTCTTTCACCGTCTTGAGAGTAATAACGAAAAATCTCAAACGGATGGCAAATAATATCTTCACCAAAACAATGAACTGATCTGCCCTCTAACTCTTAAACAAAAACTAAATTGATTTCTAGATTTAAAACCTGTTGTTAGAGTTCGGTGAATGTCAACCACAGCAGAATCTAAATTCTGAAAAATCCGCTTCATCGCGAATCATCATCCTACAGACCGAATGGATAATCACACCGTTAAGGTAATCATTTTAATCAACGTCATCATAATTTCGTACTGTGTAAGTGCCATGATCTACCCACAGCCATACCCGTTCTACGTAACATTCGACTTATCCCTCATAACATTCATCATTGCTTTCCTACCTCACACCTATTTATACTTAGTCGCCTTCATCACTCTTATGATAGTGTTGACCACTCTCGCAACGGCGCTCTTCTTCTCTTCCGTTGTATTCATCCGCAATAAAATTTTCTTTGAGGCAGACGAACTCCCGAAGTTCAGCTTGATCTTCGAGAAGCAGTTTGATGTTGTATGCAGTCTAATAATGTATCTAATGGGTGCCTGCCAAGAGAATAGCACGTGGGATAATTGCACCATTGTCTGATGTTATTTTTTTTTTCATAGTTGGTTCGGTGAGGTGTTTGTTTCTAGTGGGCTGCGTTTTTGTGATGGGGTGACATTTATAATGCAATTAGCATGTATACATTTTTTTAAATATATATATACATAAGTATGAGCATGTGCGTGTGTGTGTGTTTGTGTGTGTATGTGTATTTATTCATTTATTTGTTTGTTTGTTTGTTTCATTGTCTACTATTTATTCAACGTTTTTGTTCAACTAATGATATTGAATATAACAGAGGAATCTGGAACATGTCTTACGCCAAACAGTTTAACATTTTTCTACTATAAATGTTTAAATTTAAATTTTCACCGAACTAATTATATGCTGTGCATTTAGTAACAACTAACCATGTGCAAGCGTTTAAAAAATGATTTGTCTTTCAATCGTCTGTTTTGAAATTTTATGTGAAATTTCTTAGTGAGAGTAATTAATTGACATTTTAAACACTTTAATTTCCCATTATTTTTCAATTTTGAATGATATCAGAGCAACTATTGTGTTTTTTTTCATCATTAAAATATCTTTGAAATTGTTTGTAGATATGCAAGATTGAATGTCTGTTTGCGCTCCAGCAAACCTTGCAAACATTATTTTATTTTATTTTTTCGTTTCATCATAATTCAATATTTTCTGAGAGAATTCAAAATAATTTGAGACCACACTTTTTAACACCAATTGTAAAATTTGAATGTATAAATATAATAATATAAATAAATATTTAATAACAACATGTTTCTAGTAAAAGAAAGTTAATATAGTAAGTTCCGAAAAAAAATTGAATTTTTAAATATATTACATCTACAATTAGCAGCATTAGTCACTCAATACACTACAGAACAAAGAACAAGTACACACACACACACACACACACACACACACACACACACACACACACACACACACACACACACACACACACACACACACGTAAACACACACATATATATACACACAGACACACACACATATACACATATATATACACACGCACACACACACGCACAAAACCCGAATCAACGAAAACTGTAAACGAAATTAAAAAATGAAAGTTACAGTTTGTAAATAAAACTCGTGTCTTTGTTTTGTTTCGACATTCCAAAGGATTGTTTGAAATTTTGTATCCAGATAAAATGTATCAAAAGGTTATTTTAGTATTTTTTACCTAGAATTATAAACTAATTAATACAAATAGATTGTTGTTTTTTTTTTAAATTGATGAATAACCGAAGTTTATTATCGTGAACTAGATCTGATGCGTTAGTCACCTTTGTTTTAAATTAAAAAAAATTTAAAATTGTTGCGAAAATTTTGGTTGATAAATTTGTGAACATTTCAAAACATAAAAAATTTATACTGGATTCGACTGACAATTACCAATTACAGATATTATAAATCTCGATGGTTACAACGAAGAAATCTTGAAAAAATCCCAGATAAACATCTTCCCTCAAACAATTAACTGATCTGACATTTGACGCTCGCACGAAAACCAAATTGATTTGAATATTTAAAACGCGTCAGTGGAGTTTGGTGAATAACAACAACGACAGAATCTAAATCCTGGAAAATCCGCTCAATCGCGAATCATCCTCTACCAGAAAGAATGGACATGCATACATTCAAAGTAATCATGGTAGTGAACGTCGTCATCATTTCTTACTGCGTGAGTGCAATGATCTACCCGCAGCCATACCCAATCTACATAATGTTCGAGGCATCACTGGTGGCCTTCATCATTGCTTTCCTACCACACAACCGTCTCTACCTAATCTATTTCGTCACTGTCGTAATACTTTTGATCATTTTCGCAACGGCATTCATCTCCTCCGTTATCATCTTGATCCGCTATAAGATTTTCCTTGAAACGGATGAACTCCCAAAGTTTAGCTTCATCTTCGGAATGCAGCTTAAGGTTGTGATTGGCGCACTATCATACCTGATGGGTTTCTGCGAAGAGAATAGCACGTGGGATAATTGCAATCATATTTGATGTTTCTTTTTTTTCATTATGGTTGTGTGGGTTGGTCGCGTGTGTACCTGGTACTGGAGCGTTTTGGGTGAGTCCGACGGGACATTTATTACGCAAGTACCATGTGTGGATCTTTTATAACATATGCAACATTTGTGCGTGTGCGTCTGTGCTTGTTCGTGTATTCTTTTATTTATTTGTCTGTTCTTTTCATCGTTTGGTTGATTGTTTGATTGATTGTTTGTTTAATCTTATGTATATTTGCCTAACTAAAGATATTTAAATATATATATATATATATATATATATATATATATATATATATATATATATATATATATATATATATATATTCTAATCATCATTTATGTATAACATTACATGCTCAAAACGATTCAACATTTATTTATTATGAACGTTTTAATTTAAATTTGCTCAGTGTTTGTTTGCTATAAAGTTTCAAATGACAAAGCAGTAACCACACGTATGCCTGCATGTTTTCCAAAATGTCCATCATTTATTTTCAGTAATTATTATCTATGTAATGTTTTGTGTTTTCAACATGCTGAAACTATTTTGAACAAATATATTAAGTTACTTAGGCTCACTCAGATGATTTATTAATGTCATAAATTCACAGACATTTTTTGGTATTAATTGGCTTTATTTAAAACTTCCACTCAAATTTTTTGCTTGTTTGATTCTCTACAGATAATTAAACTTATAATTTGTTGAAGTTCTTGTTATTTTAAATCAAATAATGCGTTTTAGTATAACCAAATTTTGAAAAAAATTATCTTATTTCGATGGTCTCTTTGATCGAAATATGGATGATAAATGATGAAAATTAATTTATTTAAAAAAATGTATTTCTTCATCCCACCGTAAAATGAAGTACCCCAAATAAATAACTCTACCATGAGGTCGTATATTAAATGACTGTTGTCTAAAATGTTATATAGAATCATCCAATTTTAAATTTTCACACTTGTCTAATTATTATATCTTAAAAACATCATCAGCAATGTGAATAAAACGCCGTGACATCGCACACATTGTACCTGACAAGTAAGGATCTCTTTGTCCTCGAACCCGGTAACTGTAACATCAGTGCCAGGCACGTTAACCATTAAGCCACTAGGCCATTCCATTAATAATATAGAGACGGATTGTAAGAAGTGTTTCAAATATAGAATCCGGCTTTCATATCGGCCGTAGTGCAAAACACGGTGACGTAAACGGTCAGGATTGCCAGGAATGTGACGAGGACCGTTATGAGGACGATTTTCAAGACTGGCATGCTGTCGTCTGCGCGTGTTTTTATAATTATAATTAAATTTATAATTATAATTTTAGCTATAATTTTAATTATGTTTAAAATTTTTTTTTGTCATAATAAAATGACTTAAGTAAAGAATTTTTTTCTGCTAAAACCATTGACGGTAAAACATTTCATTCGAACAAAATAATACAAATATTTTTTTTCATTTTTTATTCAATCTATTTTAAATATTGACATCTAATATTTTTTATTGTTAAAATACAAAAACAATTCATGATTATTAAATAACTTTTTTTCATAAACTATTAAACTGAAAAAAATATTGCACAACGAAGTGAACACGAAGTAACCTACCCTACCTATATAGATGTGCGTGTGAGCCATAGAGGTGGAATACTTTCCTTCGATCATGTTGACTGCCAGGCAACTATAGCTGCCTAAGTTTATTTTCAAAAAAATTTTATTTTTAAAAAGTTTAGCCACAAGAATAGTAGAAAAAAAATCAAGGAATGATTTAAGGTCGAGTTGGAGGGAGGTAGGTGGAGATGCTCCAAAATTTAGAAACATCGCGAAATTTTTTCTAAACTTAATTTACTTATATAACATTTAAGACGTAAACTATTTTAATAAGAAAATTTGTGAAAAAAAATGATTTAATATGTAAAAAAAGTTTGCCAATATTTTTAAAACTATCCAATTGATTATTTTTTCTTGAATTAAAAATAGATTAGGCTGAAGGGGCTTCCACTTTTTCTCTACATCCATCTCTATACTTTTAAATCTAACATTGACAATATCTCAACCTCTATAACTTTTAAATCTGGCATTAACAATATCTTTTTTGTCTAAATTTTTTTCATAATTGCTACTTACCAGAATTTTCAACTTGCAAAGTTTGCCCCCTACCCAGAAGAGTATAATTATTGTAGTACCACTGGTACGAGCAGCTTGGATTGCAAACAGCCACACAGGCGATCTGGTCGTTTGGGCGGACGTAGTGGCTGTTGGGTGCTACTATCGTTACGTTTTCAGGTGGGTCTGCGTTGGGTTTTAAGTGAAAGTTTTAGGAAGATGTGTATGTGTGTGTTTCTGCGTGTGTGTGTGTGTGTGTGTGTGTGTGTGTGTCTGTGTGCGTGTGTGTTTGTTGTGTGTGTGTGTCTGTTGTGAGTGTGTGTATTTTCAAATGGGTTTGTCAGATAAATCTGATTAAATATATAAAAATAAATGCAAAACAATCAAACCACCATACCTTTAAAAAAATTAAACTTCAAACATTTTTGACTTTTAAACGTTCATTACAGAAAGATGCATATAAATTAAAAACGAAATAAAATGTGCCAACAGAGCAGATGTTTGGCAGCGGTGTAGCATGAAAAGTTGAAGGGCATGGCCACTGCCAAGGTCAACATGGCAGCCCTACATCTGAAGGATTTAAAGATCGGAACCTTCTTGTAGTCCACCAGCTGTTCCACTGTGTTCGTCAACTCTGACATACTTTCAGTTTCCGATTTCTGGATTGTCATCGACTCGACAATGTCTTCTTGGTCACCGTCCTCGCTCTTGGTCGTGATGTAGCTCTTGTGGTTGCTGCGGCTGTTGTGGTTTTTGTGGCTGTTGTGATCGTTGTGTCTGTGACTGTTGTGGTCGTTGTGTTGGTGGCTTTCGTTGTTATGGTGGCTGTTGTGGGAGCTGTTGTCATTTTCGCGTCCGAATTGATATCTGGAGACGTCAAACGACGGTCGACTCCAAACGAGGCGCGGAGCATTGGCGTGGGTCGTATCGTTGAATCTGTAATATACGTATTACAGGTTGTTGAATACGTATATACGAAATAATTCCTAACTGTATGTACCTAAAGTGTGAATAAATACAAAATTACTTCAAAAATATTTATGTAATATTTTACTCTTGCTTACTGAACTTTTTATTATAAAATAAAATAGAAAAAAAAATCTGCTGTACGTAATAAATAACTCTAAACAATTGAATTTTCCTGATTTAATAAATTTTTAGCATTGCCTAGCTTAAATATCATAGATTTGCTAGTGTTCAACCTGTAAAATATGCTGCTATACATAACCAGATGTCTTAAAAGCAATATCAATATCTCCTCCTGATAGAGTTTAATTTCATGAAAATAGTTATTAAATATCATCATCAGATAGATAGAAATTTTACAGGAATGTTTCTTGGATAAGTTTTCAAGTTTATTGCTGGCAAGGGATTAGCCCAGGTCAATTTTGTTTAAATAAATAGACCTGAGTGAACATTTGAAGTTGACAAGGTCTTTCATGTTCACAACTGAGTCAGCATCGTGTGAAGTTGAACAGTCGACTCGTCTGTCTGAATGAGTTTGGTTGGACTACATTTCTCAGACGTAAGCATAAAAAATGTTTAAGGTAATTTAAATTGGAATTTTGTTTAATTTGATTCAAAAATTACATAAAAACTACTGGTCTGATTTATATCAAATATGAAAAGTGTATTTTTAAAATAGTTCGCACGCTTAACATTTTATTATTAAACATAAAAAACATTTAAAAAAAATGGCCAACAGACTAACAAATGAGCCTAGATCAACCTAACAACAAGCAAATGCGAAAAAATATACAATCTGTCTATAAAAAAAACATTCATTAACGAACGAATGCCTCTACGTAAGAATTGATTAATAATGTAAGTAGAAACCAACCGAGCACAACCAAATGAAATATAACTCTGGCTCCTTCTGATGCATCAACCGAACATTCATATTTCCCGGCGTCTGATTATATGGTTGCATGTATTTGTCATTGAATGAGTGGATCATTTTGTAGGTTAGTATGTAAATGGAAAGATAACTGAAGACTGTCCTAAATGCATGATGATTAGATAGGTTGCATGGATTGTATTAGGATTGAGTTAACTATCTCTTTGTAGATATCTTAAATAAAATATGATTGAAAGCATGGACCATATAAAGACTGAGTTAACCGTTATTCTAATTTTATTACCACAACTTCATATGTACATGCGGAGTTGATAAACTGGCTAGAGAATAAATACTTGATAAAATTGATGAAATATCAAAATAGAATTAATAATTTTTGTTTTTTTTTAAATTTTCAAAAATGGTACACGGTTAAAACGTGTATATGGTAGAATCTGTGTAATAGGCAATTGATTTACAAAGTGTTAGTTGTTAATAACTCTGTGAAACACTTTAAAAAAATTTTAATGAAAGAGTCATAAAGTTCAAAATTTACACTACAAATTTAAACACACCAATCAATCAACGAACTCTGAATAAAATGTAACACTACCATTGAAGGCAATCTTGCTAATGATAACGTCACATGAGTAGGGGCTGTCTGATAAGGTTTGGTATTTGCTTCCCAGCTCGAAGCTACTCAACCTTGTTGGAGTGAAAACAACATTTTGACATGAATTGCATGGCATTTGAGAAAATATCTCAACCCTCAACTGGAACTTGGAGTGTTCTCTGCCAACCAAGGCACTCTCTATAGTCACTACTTTGTTGTTAATAAAACTACAGCAATTATGTTCTATGTAGATCATATGTACATTAAAGTGTCAATAATGAATGAATTGTTAAGATAACATATTGTCATATATTCACGCGCAAAATTGTAAAAAAAAACTCAACGTGTTATCATTCTTATAATAAACATGTTAACTTGATTTTGTATATGAATGGTGGCCTGTCACATTTAGTCTCTTTCACGTCATTCCATTCATCTTGACTAATTAAATATATATGACGTCAGAATGACGTCACAATGATGATGACATCCACTAACTGACAGCCAGGCCCGTGCACAATGACCATCCCATTGAATGTCCAGCTCCAATGAAAGTTCCCTCTTACGTGATGCAGTGATGAAGATGGTGATGGGCCGGCGGGAGGAATTGTGATGTTGCACTTCATGACGAACTGACCACCGATAACTACAGCTGCTGAATCCGGTCCTCTCAGTTGACTGGTAACTGTTGTGGTGATGTGTTGGGTAAGATGATGATGGTGATGGAGATAAAGGTAAGAGAAGGAGGAGGAGTTTGATGGTGATGAAAGTGGAGATAGTACGATGATGAGAACGATGGTGATGGTGAAGTCAAAGGAAAGATGGAGAGAGAGAATATTAAAGATGAATGAGTTAAACATAATCACAAGAAAGAATATTAAAGAAAAAGAGAAAGTAAACCAGAGAAAGAGAGAGAGGAGAGAAAGAGAGAGAGGAGAGAAAGAGAGAGAGATGAATGATAATAAAATACAGAGAAAAACACATACCACAAAAATATTTATATCATGAATACAGTCAATCTATACAATCATCGTTAATGACACCGACCACCACGGCGAGAGAGGCAGGCGAGAAGGACGATGCAGATTAATTCTTTGGCTGTCTTCCTGTAGCTACACATTCCGCTCTCGCCAATGTCAATCAAGTAGAATTGTAGGAGGAGTCAGCTGGTGACGTCATTGTAGAGAAATTGTTTATTTAGTAATTAATTTTTACAAAAATGTAATTACTTTCAACGTTTCATAAAGTAATCAACAAGTTCCCATTAAGTAAAATACGTTTTATTGAATGTTTGTGATTGACTAATCGATAAATTGATTGAAAATTGTAGATGTGATAAGCGTTCGAACCCAGTAACTGCATGCCAATATCGTGCCGCTCATATGTAAAAGAATTATTCACCTTGTGATCTTAAACTTACTCAGTATGTTAGGATTTTCTGAATCTATACCAAATCTCAAAAACATTAGAGGATAATGTTAACAAATTAACTCGATTCTTGTAAAGAAGTTATTAAAGCTCGAAGTAGAGAACAAATGCGTTGATGTTTTGGTTTTAAAATGTTGTTGCTGTTGTTTACACATGACGTCATCAAAAGATGTTTTACGTTCACGTAAACTTATTCTTTGTTTTTAAATAATTTAGTCATATGAACGCCGTCATCAGCAATCCGTAACGCACGTACATACACACATACACGCACGCACACCTATACGCATTTATATCCATGTGCACTTATATATAGGTTAGGTTATATATATAATATTCTCTCTCTCTCTCTCTTTCTCACTCTCGCTCTCTTTCCCTCTTTTTTCTCTCTCTCTCTTTTTTTCTCTTTTCCTCTCTCTCTCTCTCTCTCTTTTTCTCTCTCTCTCTATAAACATTTATATATATATATATATATATATATATATATATATATATATACATATACCTGTATATAATGATTAAAATATAATTTCCATGCACAAAAGAGTTGCACCTATAATAGCTATTCATCTGCTTATGTAATTAGTTTTCATGTCCAACAAAGCATTCGGAAGATTTGGATATATATGTACATGCATTGGGGAGAAATCGTTTCACATACACACACACATACACATACGCACGTACATACACATACAAATATATGTAAACACACACACAAGTATAGTTTGATATTTAATGTGTTATAAAAGGTTGAAATATTTTGGATAACAAATTATTTAAAATTTATCCCAGATAAAGGTATGTCAATGTACATGTAATACCTATGCGAAGATATACTCGCATATTTTGCTTAATAACTATCTTGTTTATCTTTGTAGCATGATTATAACTTATATTTTAGGTTTTTTTTTAAATAATAAAAAAATCAAATCTGATAAGTTATGATAAAAATAATTTTTCAAAATGTGCGTATTTTGAAAGCGTTTTTCATCCAACATAGCTCATTCGAGTTCATTCCATGTTATTACTTCGTACTAGTTAAAATTCATCTCATATGTCTAAAAAAACTTCAGTAATATTCTTAAAAATTATTCAGGAATCTTTCACTTTTGAAATAAAAACGACAACATAGAAGATAGAAATGAGATTCACTGATTTTGAAAAACTTTAAATTCACTTGAAAGCGCACGCATTAGCACAGATGTTGGACGTCTGTCAAGGAAAGCGACAGATGATCTTAACACGCTAACCTATCTACTGCCATCAAATACTCAGATGAAAAGTAATTTTCCGGTGCTAGTGGTTGCTGCTGTAGTCGCGGCCTCATCCACATCGTCATCGAAGCCACAACATCATTATCACATTGTAATCAATCTCACTTCTTTATTGTCATCGTAACTGAAACATGCCTATAAAATTATTATAAACTTTGTATTCATTCGCTTAAACATCTATACCATATTCATTTAATCTATTATTCATTCATTTATTTGTTCATTCATTCATTCAATCAATCATTCATTCATTTGTTTATCCATTCGTCCAGCTATTAGTTCATCCATTCATTTTTTTCATTTATTCAAAACAAACTAACATATTTGTGTTATTTATGACCAACCAGCGGAAAAAAAATTTGAGATAATTTCAGTTGTCCAGTAGAAAAAAACTAGATAAAATGGATACAAAACTGATAGTTATTACGATAATTATGATACTTAAATTTGCCATTACTGCAAAAATGTTTGAAGACAAGGAGGGCCACAACAAAGAAGGTGTGTGTTAAGTTAACGATTTTCGTTTAAAAAATTTATCGTCAGAAATTTATTAATTTATAAGTGAAAATTTTTAATTTATTTATCAATTCATGCATTCCTTCATTCTTTTGTTTGTTTATTCAATCATTCATTCAATCATTCGTCCATTCATTCAATCGTTCAATCGTTCGTTCATTCGCTCATTCATTCATTCTTTCATCCATTCATTCAATCATTCATTTATTTAATTATTCATCCATTTATTCAATCGTTCGTTCATTCATTCATTCATTCGTTCGTTAATTCATCCACATTTTCAATCATTCATAATCTACCATCACCAAGGTCACATGACTAAAGGAGGATTTTGTAACTTCCCGAAATTTTTGTGGTCCTCAGATGAACAAGACATCGAAGAGATAGATTCACAAACCCATCATCATCATCATAGCAATCAACCTCACTCACATCATCACAATCAAACTAATCATCGTATGGCGGGAAACAAATTAGACGCTGATAAGTTTGGAGATGATTTGTATGTGGATGATTTACTTTGGAAAACTTCTACAAATTCAATTTCTTTGGCATCATCATCTTTATCATCTTCATCCTCATCATCTTCATCATCCTCATCCTCATCATCATCACCACATGACTCTTCCAAAGAATTGACTTCTAATTCCTTATCATATCTTCCGTCATTGCCGTCATCATCATCATCATCGTCACCATCATTATCGTCATCATCATCGTCATCATCATTGTCATCATTGTCAAAAAGATCTTGGACAACTCAAGAAATCTTTCATTCAGTCTCGCAACCGCCACCATCATCATCGTCATCATCATCATCATCTTCTTCTTCGTCGTCATTACATTTTAACAACCACCAAATTAGCATGTGGACTCAGAGGAAGCACATCATCATATCATCATCTTCATTCGTAACATGGTATTCATCGCAAGTTCCTTGCAGGAATGATTTGAATTCACGACCACCACCATCGTCGTCGTCGTCGTCTACACTGTCATCATCACCATTATCATCATCAGCATCATCGCCATCACCGTCATCCCATTCATCATTATCACACCCGCCAAACTCATCAACTCCATCATCACCATCATCACCTTTGGCATTGTTTGATGTTCACAAAGAAAATGAAACCAGCCATCCATCGAGCAGACAACAGATTCGGCAACAACAACAACTTCCACAAAACTTTCAAAATCACAATTATCGCAGTAGGCAAAATGGGAATGTAAATACTAGCGATCATTCTCGGCTGCACCATAGCCACAACCATGATGATCACCGACCGCAAGAAGATGTTAACAACCATCTCGGACAACAAGTTGACGGTCATCATCAACTATACCATTCACAATACGAATATCAAGGTCGGCGTTGGTCACTTCAGCAACTAGCTTCACAGCAACAACAACGACGACAACAACTTTTTAAACAGCATCATCAACGACAACATCAACAACAACATCAACCACAACATCAACAACAACACTACCAACAACATCAACCACATCAACATCAACACTACCAACAACACTACCAACAGCATCAACAACAACATCAACAACAACATCAACAACAACATCAACAACAACATCAACAACAACAACAAAAAATGTGCACAACAAACACAAACAAACAACACATTAAATGTCTTTCCATTGAGAACGACAGCGCCTATAGAATCGTTGAAATAAACAAAGGGTTGGTGTTAGCATTTTTTTCCTCTATTGATTTTATAATTTTTGTCGGTAATGTTTCTGCTTTGTCTTTAAGTAATTTTTGTTCAGTAAAAGTTCTCAGGTTCCAAGTAAAAGTACTGACAAAATAAATTTTCCAAATTCTTCTTAGAAATCCAAATCCAGACACTTAAATACGAAATATTAAGTATATGAGCGTTTAGATATTTATTAAAGTTTTTGATTTAGTGAATTTTCATAAAAATATTCATTATTGCAGATAGAAAATGAAGAATAACAAATATATTATCATTATTATTATTATTGTTATTATTATTATTATTATTATTATTATTATTATTATACCGTATAGCATAATTATTAACAAATATATTGTGGTTTATGTTGTTGTACAAATATTTTTAATACACACGGGTTAGCAGGAATTTTATAGCCAAACTACTAAATTCATTACCGTAATTTTTTTAACTTCCAGTTAAAGTTTTCTGATGTCGTTGTTTTAGATGTTGTTAATGTTAAAACTGATGTTGTTGTTGTTGTAGTTGTTGTTGTTGTAGTTGTTCTCCTTGGTGTTTTTGATGTTGTTGATGTTGTCTGTATTTATGTATTTGACGTTGTTGATGTTGTTTGTACTAATGTGGTTGGTGTTGTTGATGTTTTTGTTGTTGTTGATGTAGTAGTTGTTGTTTATTTTCTAGCGTTAATTGATAGATGCCTAGTTCGTGCTTCATCATACAGCAGACCAACAACAACATAAACAACAACAACAGCATAAACAACAACAACAACAACAACAACATCTTAATCGCCACCTATCATATCAGATGATAACAGTCATGAATAAACATAATCACACAAAGTATCGTCATCTTTGCAGTTACTGTCATCGCAATCATCATTTTCAACGATATCACAATCTGATAATGACGTCATAACGATGACGTCACTGTTATCGTTATATGCTATAATATTTGCAGCAACGAATGCGTCATTTTTACGCACTCTTCTAAATTATTTTTAACACTTGAGTGATTTTTTCTCATGTATTTCAAAAACACCTCAATAGTTTTCGTGGATCTATATACATTTATACATACATACAGACATACATACATACATACAGACACACAAACATGCATGCATTCATACAGACAGACATACATACATACAAACATACATACATACACCGCAATTATTTTTA